TTAAGCGTTTACGCGCGAAACTGAGGACCCTAGGTTCGAATCCTGCGAGTTGGATCGTAAATGCGCACTGCTGAGGAGTCCCATACAAGGATAAGACGGCTGTCCAGTGCTTCCAGTTTTATCATGTTGGTTTAGATTCAACTGACTCATGAATTCAACTAATAAATTACCATAGCATCCACAAAACCCCTCTCTGTATATATTTTCTTATTAGTTGTTCACAATCTCTGATATTCTAGAATTGAAACTAGAAAGTGGACTTGGTAACGTAAACATAAAAATGAATTTAATTGCAAGTTTATGTGAAAAATTCAAAATAGGTTAAATGATATTATCAGAAATTACAAATATAAGTAGTATATTAGAGAATGCTTTGGAATAATAACAATTATAAATTCATAAGGCTTTTGAATGAATGGTTATGTGGCAAATAAATGCTGGTGATAATTCAGAATAAAATAAATTTATGAACATGATAAGAATTTCATTTAGTTAGTTTCCTTAGTAACAACAGATTTTGCAAACGAACTGAATACCATTCATATTATGTACACTAAATTGTCTACATTAGCATTGAGTTGTAGGAATAAATATAAAGTACATTACACATACAATTTGGTGTACAACATGTATAAAGTCATTTAATTCATTATTGAATAATAATTATACCTTCCACTTCTTTTTTGTGTTCAATAAACAGATGAATGTATTTAACGAGAGAGTGAAAGAGAGATCCAGATACAATTGAGTATAAGAAACATGTGTAAATTGTTATACCTACACTGAACAGACAAATAAAGATATTAGCAAATAATAATTTAAAAAAGAACAACAACAGTGAGGTAATCTAAATAGAGGTGATAATAAAACTGACATCGTTAATAATATTTGAAGAAGGTGATGATGACTAAATAACTTTGTACATACTATATACAAAATTACGTTTTTATGACTTTTCTCTATTCAATTCAATACATATGCAAAACATTAATAGTACATGAAATGAACTCATTTCATCTCACAATATTCATTGTTCTTCCTGTACATCACTAGAAATTAGTTGAAAGTTGGTCATGAAGTAGTCGGATAATGAAAAATTGTAATTTAACTAAATAGGGCCTATTTTTTTAACTGAGAACAACAAACTCTGTTAAATGGAACGGATTTATCTCATTTCTTTTGTTATAAATATACTGATTTGTATAAATAAATAGAATGCTTTATAAATGTCATTTTGTGTATAAGTTGCATAGTAGCATTCATACTACCGGGACAAATAAAGATTAATAAATGATTTAATTTTGAATATATAAACCAGGTTTCAGATAATTGTTAAAAATGGATTCAGCAAATGTCCGAATGATAGAGCATGGTTATTTGTTTATCACTTTGAAGGACTTTATGTTTCTGTTTTATGTTGTATTCCTGATGTTGTGTCACCAAGAAATATCTAGAATTTGCGATGATGAACTTTACTATTCTTTTTGACTGGAGAAATTTTGAAGCATATTATATGTTCAAATTAGGTCCAAATTTTCGTTTTGCCAACATAGCTGCCTTAGTAACTATTTGTAAATTTATACGCACGATTAATGGTGGCATGAAAAATGTACATTGACGCTCTCCGGCTGAGTTGGTGAATATGCTGTTTTATAGAGAATTAATGATGTTCTTACTCAGTGGGTTCCAGTTAATATCATGTTTAAACCTACATTAACCTTCCATGAGACATCATCACCTGCACAGTTGAATTGAACGAAATTGTAATCTTTATGAAATCTTGTAAATTATGAACAAACTTTATTTTGTCGAATGTTAACCATTGATTTCACTCAAATCGTTCTCTAAGCATATATTTTTAAGAAAAAGATAAGACTTGTATACATTAAAATCCATACACTTAAAATTACTTACTGCACTAAGGGTGCTTTATTGGATAAAATGATTAAGTATTTATTCAAAAAATTGATAAAAGTATCATTTTTCTAAACAACCATTTTAGATAATGAAACTTGAAACGATTGTTGTAGTGTTAAACGGAGCACATAGTATTATTACGGTTTTGTATTGATTTAAACTAACATAACATGAATAAACATACATTTTTACGTTACAATGGATTCTTTAAGCTAAAACTTAATTAATAAATCCATATTATCGTCCAACTATTTAGATTAATACAAACGATTGCATTCATTTTCTTTGGATTCTCATTATAAAATCTCATACTGAAATTTATTACAAACGTTTAAATTTTCACCAACTCGTTAATCCATAAATTGATTCTCGCTAAACAACATTTGATGAAGTTCATGCATGAGCATTAATTTTGTTTTACTCTTCCATTCCTTGGTTAATGAAAATCTTTTCTCTTTGTATAGAAATAGTCATTTACCATGAAGATTAAATTAATTATATCATTCTCAGTTTATTCCATTATATAAAACACTTTATCAGCAAGTATTATACAAGGGAATTTAATCAAGTCCGGTTTTCTGGTTATTCACTTTATTCAACCGTGAAATTATTTTTTACAAGGTAGTAGCCGTTGTACACTCTGCTAAACTTTAATAAGTCATACATTTAAAAAAGAAGTGAAGAGTTTTATTATTCTTACTAATGGAGACCGATCTTTCTTGATACGATTCAAATAATACAATGATACAAATTGTTGAATATTGACATGAATAACCCGGAAAGTCATCTATGAACTTTATCATTATAGTATTGATATATGAAGAAAACAGCATGGAATCATATTTATTCATACATGAAAATAATTTCATCCTAGATATAGTTTGAATTACAAATAAGTGCTTTATTGATCACCCTAATCAGAAAATCCACAACTAGCTATTGTTTGTAAGTTATCACCGAAATTGGGGTCTGAATATGATATCGTATAGCGGGAAGGTCTTAAGTTACTTTAACCGATGTGACAATTTAATCATCTATTAAACTGTAATGCTTCCTGTTGAAACTACGCACAATCGGTAAATTGCAAATATCGGTTTTCCTCAACTATTGTTCCGTAATTCCGACCTCATTTAGTATGCAGTTTTTGCTCGACCATCATTCTTTGCCATAGATGATAATTAACGTAATTATTATGTGGTCGTATTACGCTAATCACAATAACCTACAACAACCTGGTGACATCTATCTTAAGTTATTCAGTTGTGAACAGTTGGTTATTAAAATAGAAAATTGTGTTAAGGAGTACATTATAAGATGAAAGAGAATATTTCCAGCTTAGTATGAGGATATTGGAGTTGATGTAATACCTGAGCCAGATGGATTAAATGTGAAGCTTTCATTGGACTTCTAAAAAATATCATCAGCACGTACTCTTGAGTGAAATGAGCCACTAGAATTTTTTCACGATTAACCTGAAAGTTAAGTAGTTTTTTATCAACAACTGTGAGCTCTTTGTTCATACACCTATCTAGATTGTTTTCGCTCCTTGCCTGAACTCTGACCGTGTATTCGCTAATACTTTTTCTTATTGGTTAGCAGATCGATTTCAATGTACCTATTGATTGATACTTGTTGATTTTTACTTGTACTTCCACTGTTGACTATTTTGACTGTTTTCCTACGAATTCATTTTGACAGTCATCCATATGCATTGATATGAGTGATAACTTTAACCGTCATGAACATCTCCGATTACATGAACCTCAAATTTATCATTGAAAAGATTCCTACATTGAAAATAACACTTTGTATTTTACTATTATTCAACTGAAAGCCTTCAAATAGGTGTTTCTTTTTGAAAAATGAATTTATCTTTACCTATTGTGCGATAAATACCCACTAAGTTTATCCCACTCTATAATCATATATACTGCCTATTGATTTCTCCTTAATTTCATTCTTGTTATAATTTACCAAAAACCCTTTGTGTAAAAAATTTCCAAAATAGTTTCTACTAAATGTTTCATCTGATCTAAAAAAAAATGAAACGAATTCAGCTTATAATTGACAAAACGGAGAAAAACATACTGAACACACAGAGAAAGCTTTTGATTTAAATTAATAATCCAGTGTTATTTTCACAATGCAGCATGGTGCATGCTGCGATTTTTGTGAAGTATTCAAGGTGAATCATTACCGTTCTTAAAGAGATCCCTCCCATTGATCTTATAGATCATCGTAGTATACAGCAGGGTAAGATTTTGATGGTGATTGATTAGATGATATCAATACTTCCAATACGGCTGAAATTAGTTAGACAAAGAGTTTTGCTAGACTTAAGGTCCTTGTAACTTACGTCTCCACAGTGAATAAAGATATCACAATCAGTTGTTATAGTAGCAGCAGTACAACCATTGGATGGAGCATTAAATATAATTGGAAGAACGTATCATTAGATATTTCATAAATATTAACGTAAGTAGTCCTGAAATTACTTACTTAATGATATGATTATATCGTGAATACGTGAATAAAGGGAAAAAATTTTCCCATATATATCGTGATATGATTCTACCTGTTGTGATTTTGTTTTCAGTGTCATGTTCCTCTCTCTATTTGGTCAGTTAAATTAGTGAATTGAGTATTTGTGACCCACCAACAAATTATTTGTTCAGTAAATAGTTTTCTCAATATCTAAAATAACAATGGATGTAGGCTGGTCATCGTATTGTGAATTAATCGAAAAAGCAAAGATCACGAACAAATGAGTTCTTCATTAAAAGTTGCGATTTTTTGTTGATGAACCATTGATTTTATACACAGTTAACTGTTTCGTAAAACCAAAACTGTCTTAATAGATAATATATTTTGTAAATTGATCCTTGACAATTTTCATCATCGTTGATGATAACTACTCCAAACCATCGGTTTCACTTTCACAGTCTAAACTATTAAGAATTTAAAATGCGAACAGCACATAGAATTAAAACATTTGGCAAATAATGAATTTTTTATATTTGTTTTTCGTATTGTATTCAAACAATGAGACTTATTATGTTTGTGTACGCTTCTAAAAATTTCAGGTAAACCCATTCAATGTTGGGTACCACAAGAGTTCACACATTCTTGGGAAGAATATGCAGAAAATCTCTGTTGGGTACAGAATACATATTTCCTTCATCCAAGTGATCAAGTCCCTGAAGATGATTACGAATTGACAAAAGTTAGATATATAGGTTATTATCAGTGGATAGCAATAGTATTAGCTGGACAAGCGATGTTATGTTGGGTACCTCAAATATTATGGCGAGTCGGATCAAAACGATTACCTGTTTTACTGCGATCAGCCAAAGAGGCATCGGTACCAGACAGAGAACTTAGACAAAAAGCTATTTCATGTTTAGTAGCTACATTAGAAGAGCAAGCCGAATCAACTGCAAGGCACAGACGAGCAACAAGTACAATCAAACGAATATTATGTAGCTTTCGACCAAATACGCGTATAACGTTTCTGTTTTTTATAGTTCGTATTTGTTTTATCGGTAATTCAGTTGGCCAAATTTACCTCATGAAAAAATTTATTGGGACCAATAGTACAATGTTTGGCATGGATGTTTTAAATGATTTAATTACCGGCCAAGAATGGGAGACTTCAGGTAAATTTCCACGTGTGACATTTTGCACGGTTCGTGTCAGGAAAATGGGGCAAATAAAGCCTGCAAGGTGAGCGTATTTTCCCAGTTACATATATATAATTTTGTGAATGATTATTATTTGAGATGCTTCCATAGTTAGACTTTTAATATATGTACTTATTGTCCTTGAAAATGTAACATTTTACAAATAGCTGTATTGACTGAAAGATTTCACTGAACTGAAACAAAACTTTCTAAACCATGTATTCAAAAGAGTTCAGGTTTATTATTATTTCTGCTTTTCTTCGATATAATTTATACTTTCTTCTTTATCAATATATTATTTAATCATACTTACCTAATCTTGTCTTATTTTAATAATATTTATTCTTTTTTTATTAGTTCTAAGATTATCCTAATTTTCGACATTTATGTAGTTATTTAAACACGTAAATGGTGGTACAAAGGGGCAACAGATATATTTGTGCCACACAAAAACTTGTCATCTGTTATTAATTACGTTAGGCTATGATACTGCCCGGGTGCCCAGATCAAAGCAGGTGGTTTTCTTAGGGGACCACACTTGGAGCCTTTGACCCAAAGGTCTGATTCACAAGGCAGTGTAGCATCGTGAGGAGATGCAGTCCAATGGTAGCCGGTAGCCAACAATTGATTGATACGCTACTTGTTCCATCAGGATACTGGAGCCCATTTATTTATTTATTTATTATTATTAGCTTTATTCAATATTATATTATTTGGTACAAAATCGAATTCTCAGCATAAAGTATTTCAACATGTTTACGTTTCTTATTTCTTCGTTGCTCCTGATGATAAACATTCAGTGATCGCCAGTTGGATGTCAGCAGTTCATTCAATCGACATATGAATAATGTACATTCTTTTTGCTGCATGTTCCCAGCAAACACGACATCTCTGATAAGGCCTTTTGTAACCTTTACAGCGTAAGCTTGTACAGTTTTCAGAAACGCACCGAAATAGTTTGTGTGCTTAATAGCCATAATGATGTATTAAAACAAACAATATTAGATAACTTGTTGAAATATATAGATGACAGGAACAGGTAGCCCAGATGTTTAAGCAGGCCGCTATTGGTTTAGAATAAGGGTTTTCCAACTCCCCTAGGTATACTTTCCGTGTCAACCAACCCAGTTAAAGTGTCGGACATTTCGTGAACATCACCCTTGCTACGAAAAGGCAGTGAGTATGACTTCCCTGGAAGAGGCTATATACGCGTGACCATGTGAGAGCATTTCGAGAGGGAGAGCGGACTCTCCTTACTCTCGGCCGTACCAGTGAATTTATGGGCTTTCGACAATATTGATAATGATCACAGAAAATGAAAAACTGAATATAGTCAGAAATATATTGGATTGAATTGAATTTTAATGTTTATTGAGCAACTCATTTGTTCCAAAGTTGATTAGTGTATATGTACACATTGAATTTCTAATATTAAAATATACAGCCTTTCAGTACTGATTAATTTTCGGTGAATATCTGACTTAAATCGATAGATGATTTTTGTTTACTTTAATTGAAAACATTAAAACTTGTGATTAACTATATAAAAACAAATACTATATCAACCATTTTATTACCGACTTTTATTTATAATATGAAGTGACAACAAAATTGTGTCGTTTCTTTTTTCATCGAAAAATGATTAATCTTTTTATGTTAGTTACAGAAATAAAAATGATTTACTAACACTATCATTTCAAACCTCGTAAGTTATAGATGCACTATTACTAAAGTTCCGATCGACTAAATCAAGTATAAGAAATGAAATCTTTGAAACTAATTTTTTTAACCGTTCTTTCGATAGTACTACTGAAGTCGCAACATATTATATGTTTGTGCATTCTATTTATAAAAAAACGAATTTTTTTATTTTCATTCTCATATAAATCCTTCTTTATTGAATTATTGGTCAATCCTGAATCATATTATGTAATATGAGAACTAACTCGGTTTTCCGTTACATGTCTGTTATGGGAATTGGAATTAATCAGGAAATATACATGTGCTAATGAATGCTATCAGAGAATTGAAGAGGGAGAATCAAAAGGACCTTACACTATTACTATATTTATTCGATTATTCAAAGAAAATTTAACAATTATGTTTTAAACGGAGAGAAAGTCAGTATTTCAATAGAAAAATTAATTCATTTGAAGAATACTAGTGTAGAGTATAAATTAATATGATTAAAAAGAGGCCACTTAAAGATATCGCATTCAACATTCCCTGCGCCATTGATTCATCTATATCTGCCAAAAATGAAAATTACGATGTTCCTTGAAAAAGTTTTAAATTGTTTCCTAATCTTATTGACTACATGAACCACTGTATGGCAGACATTGTGATTTCTCGCTTGCAAAACAAAACGTCAAACGTCATACTTCAGAAGATTTCGATTACGGGAGTTTTAAACTTTTACAGAAAACTATTTCTGAATTTTTATGGTATGGTTGGTGGTTTAATCCTGGCGCCATACGATTAGTCTTTTAAGTGCAACTATCTTTCAACTAAAACTTGAGTATCGTCTCCACAATCTTTATATAACCTCGTGAATGGGACCTGGCAGTTCGTAAAACATCATCCTTACATGAGGTTTGTCTGGAAAAAAACTTGAGTTTAGAAAATCTCCTTTTTATAAAATAAAGGAACATATTTAGATATTAGTCAAGCCATCTACTGCTTTATGTACTGTCTAGATGATCCTGGCAAGTGTTCTTCACTTGTACAAAGAATTTGATTATAGCTGGTTTACTAGAAACTTATAATAAGTTCAAGAGTTCCTATGCACTTGTTAGATGGTTTTCATGAGTCATTTTTGTATTGAGACATCATCTATCAAGCCTTCTATTAAAATAGATATATTTTTTTCTGACTCATCCTGAATCCCACAAATAAATGAAATATGGATGTACTTAACTTAAGCAGTTCATACATAGAATGAAAAGTTTTATTTTAAGCTTAATGAGGACCTTTCATTGAACAAATTCAAAGAGAAAAAACCGGTGGAGTGTTTGAAAACTATTTATTAAAATTCATAGTCATATCCAATTTGCTTAACTATTGAATTAAGATTAAGATTTTGATATAAACCCAGCCACTGAAGCATATATTCTTATAATATATCATTCATAATGAAGCCCATAAACCTTGCGAAAAAAGTTAAGACCATTTATTCATCAGTTTTATTCACATGTTATCATGAAAAATTATTACTGTCCATTAAGAATATATACGAATAAGTAAATATGTAGCACAAAAGCATTATTAAGTACATGTTTAAAAAATGGGATTGATGACCAAGGGATGCTGAAAATGTCAGAAAACGTTTAAAAATTTATAATGTTAATGAACCATTCATAAGCTATTGCTTATGATAGAGTTTTCTTCTGTCTGCTAGTATTGATACTTATAGTACAAGCGATCAACAATACAAAGTAAATTTAGAATATGAAATGAATGACCTCATATCATTTTGTTAAGACGTATTTTGATATTACCGAGCATTTAGAACGTTTCGTTTATTGTGAAGAGAATAATATAAACTGTATTAAGTAGTTTTTGAAAATGAAATATAAACTAAATTGTAAAACATGTTTTTACTAATGGATAATATTTGGATGTCGTTTTTACCTGCAGATAGTTGGTAACTCTGACATTAGTTAAAGTGAGTTTTTCACAAAGGAAACTTGGAGTTTGTTACCTCATGGAATCAATGCTATGTTGTGATATAAACCTCTGGGAAACTAACTCAACAACACTGAACTTTAAAGTCAAAGCACACATCTTTGTTACATTTCTAGAATTATAAAAGAATTCTTAAAGCCTCAAATAACCAATAGTTTCATACATGTTTTTATTTCCAGTGCTAGATAACTCTATTTAGTACATTTTTGTACGGTACTGAACATTTAATATCATTTCGATACATTTCAATCTCTTTAAGTGTCATGATATTGGCTTTAGTTGAGGATTATGAAAAGAACTAATTATTAATTGTTACTTTTTTTATGTCACTCAGTTAATAAATGATTTTTAAAAAAGTGAAAAATCAGTAAGGTCAATTGAAAATAGGGAAAGGGAATTTCATTTATCCTATAATGTTACAGTTTATTTAGTCAGGTATTTTAGTGAAGGACTTTTAGATTCGCAAACAATTCACAAAATTGAATGATGTCTTATAGGAAATTAACAAAAAATACAGAAATATGATAAACTGTTTCGTCATATATTATATTCTTTCAGCAATGATTAATCATGAATTCACACACCATTGAATATAGAGTCTCATTGCATACACTGTAGTGTTCAGCCTTAACTTATCACTCGACCAACAGTTCATTTATTTAAAGTGCAATTTACCTGTTTCCATTTAAGAAAAAAGATATTATCAATGGTCATGTAATATATAACTGTCTCTATGACATTATGAAAAACCAAGTCTTAAACGTTACCACCTGGATCTCTGTATATAAATCTTTCTGATTAGTAGATTAGCCAATTTATCATCATTTCAAATATAAACTAGCTTATATGTATAATACCTATTTGTTAGAAAGTTAAACATTAAATGCAAAATAAAAAAATAAGTACTAGACAATGCAACCTTTTATTTCAGTTTACCAAAATATCTTTTTAGTTTTTAAATCATGTAAAGTTACGAACGTGGAAGATCTTTTTACATTTAATTGTTACTAAAGTACAACCCCCCCCCAAGAAAATTCATTTATACTAACAAATGCTTTTAATGCTTGACAATGATTAAGTATTTAATTTATTTTTCATGTTTTATTGTAGCCTTATAAGTAGATTGATGATCTTATGATCATAAGGACAATGCATATCTTTTCCTAAAAAAAATACGTTACCTATTCTCCTATCATTTTCATGTTTATAATTATAGAACTGTATTAAAACAAACTAGTAACGGCATAAACTATGCTTCTAACCTTTTTTTGAACACATTAAGAAATGTTATAAATTTATTAGAACATTGAAGGAATTACAATTACGAATAGTGACCAAAAACATGTTTATGTATTTTTT